CATATAATTGTGTCTTACCCATGGACATCACGAACGTAATGAAGAAGGTGAAGAAAATAGGCACAACCTCACATACATTCCACGCCATTGATAAATGATGCAACGACGTCACAAAAAAGGCTAGTCTCGGTGACTTTAGTGCCTCGGCAAGAATAGCTGGAAACTTAATGTCAGAATTTGTAATTTAACTATTAATAACCTGCTAAATTAAAATATGAATTTGTTCATAATTTACAAATCTCCACACAGTTGAATTTCATTTGTAAAACTAAAATCTGTTACTCTGACCAAAAGGACCTCCTAGACGCTTTGTTCTTGTAAATATGGCATCGGACGATCAGCTACTACAGCACCACATAGTGATCATCAAATATTAGTCTTAAAATAATAATACTTTAAAGAATCGTTCTTGGTAAAACAAGTTTCAACTAATTAAAACAAAAACTGAATACACAGTATTTATTAATTCATTTCTTGTGATAACGTACTTAATAATTTTACTTCTAAAACTTGCCTTAAATTAACTAATCGTTTTCATTCTTCACATTACATAAAGCAAAGCCTAACATGGCTGAAAATAAAGTTGCCTGTTATATCATTGAAAAAACAAATGATTAAGTTAAATGCAAAGTCAATTTTCCAATAGCCTCTATGGTTTTACTCACCTGGCAGAGATGAAGTCTTAATCTTCAAATAATTAAAACTAATCATATTTTATTTATTATATTACCTTCCACAGTCAACAAAGAAGTAAAGCTGTCACTACCAGCCATGTTTTGGGCAATGCACGTGTAATTTCCGTTGTCTTTCGCATCTACATTCTTGACTTCAAGCACAACAAAGCCCTCTTGTGGTAATAAACGAACTTTATCATTTATCTGTAAAGTTTTCCCATTTATCTTCCATGTAAAAGTAACGGGCAATGTTCCTTTTAGTAATCCACAAGTAACACGTACATGAGTTCCAAGTTCTGTTTTTTTGGGGGAAGGAAAATGGCTGAATTCTGGGCGATTCTGTATAAAATGAAACATTTTGTGTATTTAACAATCATCTAAATAAATGCTGTTTTGATAGGTTTTAATTAATAAAAAAAATATTATCTGTGTAACTCCCTAGATTGGCCACTAAACCGCCATTAAACTACCAAGGATGCTGCCTTAATGTCAATAAATAATTAAAATTAATAAAAATAAAATTCACACAGGTCCTAAACACATTTCACGACCTCAAATATTCAAATTAATAAAAATATGAACACTTACCAAGCGATATTACGAAACACACATACAGCAGAAGCAAGAAAACCGTAGTAAGCCATTGTTCAACGACCGCCATCTTCTTTCAGTTATATTTTTATGACGTCATATCTCTAGCATCCAACTTCACTGCAAGTACGAAGCGAAAACGTAGAATTGCGATAGTGGGAATTGTTGTACCTAATTGACAATGTTTTCTGATGTCTTCCACACCAGCGTCTTCAATTTCTTGTAGCATCAGTGGAAAATATAACTAAGTTCACAAAACAAATGCTAGAAAATAAAACTTTACCCATTAAAAAAGCTTTTACTTTGATGCCTTTATCCACAAAACCGTTCTATATGTCAATGGCGTCTTTTGGGACTTCACAACATACCAGAGGCGCCTTCTGGTGGATAAAAGCATTCAAATAAGCAAGCATCATAGTATTTCAATAAAAATTCTGAAATGTATTATGTTTTGGAGGAAAACGATTTGACTATTATTTAAATAAATGATCGTATTTATATTTAATAATTCTAGTGAATGGAAAAGAAACAACAGAGGTTTTAGATAGAACGATTAAATATATCATTCGAAAATCCTAAATCTGATAAAATTCGCCAACCATGATGATTAACAAATGGCTCTTCTGCAACTAAAACCTAAGTTCTCATGATGGCTCTCGAGAATATGTGTGAATTGGAAATAACATAACATAGAAACTTCTAAGGCATCGGTGATAATCTTTTAAGTTTGATAAAGTGGTGAATTTGAATTGACTATAAAAATGAGAAATATCAAAGCATTTGTTATCATATCTAGTTGTTTTAATATTGGCCGAATTTCTTCCCCTATCTGATCACGTGGCTGTTTCGTCCATCACTGGACGATTTCCCTCCTACGAGAATACACAAATTCGAACGATCCAACATTTCTTTACACACGAATTGGTTCGGTTTGTTTTGAATTTCGCGCAGAGCTACACGAGGGCTATCTGCGCTAGCCGTCCCTAATTTAGCAGTGAAAGACTATAGGGAAGGCAGATAGTCATCACCACCAACCTCCAATTCTTGGGCTACTCTTTTACCAAAAAATAGTGGGATTGACCGTCACATTGTAACGTTCCCACGGCTGAAAGGACGAGCACGATTGGTGAGACGGGAATTCGAACCCGCGACCGTCAGATAGTGAGTCAAGCGCCCTAACCACCTGGCCTCTTACACATGAAACGACTTACTTCAAATATCTTATTTTAACTGTTGTTTCGCTTATTTGGTAAACTCATCATGTACGAAATAACATAGTTTTCTAAAATATAAGCTCAAGTTATTCAATAAGATTTCTGTTTATGCTTTGTGTCTTAAGAATCCAAAAACTATGTTTGTTTTATTATAGTGAATCGTGAATCATGTTATTTTTGTCTGTTACCACACTATTAAATATATTTAACTAGTTTAATTAAAATAACTTGAAATAGTACACAAGTTAAAGTCCTTTCATGTCCCAAAGACGCTTACCTTCCTGTTTATGTTTATTATAAGCATCCAAAAAACATTAAAATAATTGTTTATACAGATCACGCGTTTTGAATTTTGCAAGCCTTAATTTTCCCTATTACTGATTTGCCATTACTCTTGAGTTACTGCATGCCAGTCCTTTATAAAACTCGGAATCCTTTTATCAACTTTTGGTACCAAACTAAGTTTTTAACTACAGAAACATTAATAGCGACACGCACTGCCCTGTAACGTTAGAAAGGATTGGTTTGAATTTCGCGCAATGCTACACGGGGGCTATCTGCACTAGCCGTCTCTAATTTAACAGCGATAGACTAGAGTGAAGGCGGCTAGTCAACAACACCCACCACGAACTTATTGACTACTCTTTTACCAACGAATCGTGAGATTGACCGTCACAGTATAACGCCCCTATGACTGAAAGGGTGAGCATGTTCGGGAACTTGCGATTTAACTAAAGAAACAGTAATGACGACGCAACGCTTGTAAGGGCGATATTTGGAAATACTCTCTTACTCAAATATCGACCATAAATGGATTCTTAGCTGTACAAACCATTTAGAGTTAGCTTAAAAATCCTACTGGATTCTGACATTACAAACCGGATTAAGATAAATTTGTTTCTTTGATACTATGCTATTATAAAGTCCTATAATAGTATTTAAGGACTCTTCTTTATCGTTAAAGTACGTGTCACTCTTACCTGCCACATATCAAAGTAAAATATTCCTCCTTCAAAACTTTGGTGTCGTTTAACAGTATAAACATTGCAATACGGAAAAAGGAAGTTTTTAATAAGGAATATGACAAAAGGCATTTTGTTCATACGTACAAGTACGTTAAGCTGATGTAAGTCTAACTGGTATTTGGTCACAACCTGAGAGGGTCAGGTGAATTTTGACCTCTTACTCCCTCCTTTACGGTTTCTATTGTAAACTGACAAATGCTAGCGAAAAATTCACGAAAACAGAGCTAAAAACAATATTTTTAAACACCGTTTCTTGTTCCCTCTTCAGGGCCATGTCCATGGATATAATACAGTAGCATTTAGTTAAGTTGGTGTATAATTCCTAAATAATTGTTTGTTGAATTTCACGCAAAGCTACTCAATGGTTATCTGCACTAGCATTTCCTAATTCTGAAATGATCGAGGGAAGATTGCTGGTCAATACCACCCACTGCTAACTTTTTGAGTTATTCTTTACCATCAAACAGTGGAATTAATAGTCACATTATAATGACCCCACAACTGAAAGGACGAGCACGTTAGGCGACAAGTTTCACGACCCATAGAGTGTGAGTTGAACGCTCTAATCATCAGGCCTCCTAAATAATAATAATAATAACATGCAGAAGATCGATCCATTTGGATGATATTTACACTTTTACATTGCAGATGGTTAAGTCGCATGATGGACGTTAAGTGTTCCTTGTATACTCTAGAAAATGACGAAATTTAACATTGTATTAAATATAGATAATGTCATTTAATAAATCCAAGTTACACTATCAGTAAAAGAATGAGAATTGCTAGCGTTCACCAAGTTTTCCAGAAGATAAAGTAACAGATGAACCTCAATAATCTGTCATCATTTTAGACACCAGGCCTCACCTTTCACTAGAAGATGAGAGGTAAACCAGTCTTCACCAGCTGAATTTCTGGCGACACAAGTATAATTAGCAACATCAGACGCATCCAATCGTTTGATCTCAAGCATGACAAATCCTTCATCTTCTAAAAAACGTACTTTGTTTGGAATCGGCTTCAACTGGATGCCATTCTTCTTCCAAGTAAATGTCAAAGGAGGTGAGCCCTTTTCGAGACCACATGTGACACGTATTGGTGACCCTACTTGAAGATTAACAGGAAATGAAAATGGTTGGATTTTCGGAGGATCTAGATAATGGAGAGTAAATGGAAAAAATCACGTCAACGTCATCAACGGTGGTTGTCGAATAACAACTAAAATAGCACTAATGTTCACATAGAATGATTCCACACGTTAGGATTATCTTTATTCTCGACATTATAATCACCTACTCGTAAGTTTCATTTGAAAATCACGTATCCTTAATGTGTGGTAAATGTTTAAAAAGTACCTGACTACCAATTTGGATAACAAGTATAATACACATCTCCCTCTCTGGCATAATTGTTATGCCAAAACAAGTATTTAGTTTCCAATATTAGATATACGTAAAGTTATAAATATGATTTAATTTTTTATTAAAACATTCGAACAACAGCCTACCTGACGATGATACCAAACACAGAAGGGATTGTGTGTAGATCAGTAGAACCACTCCCAGTTTTGCCGCCATTTTATACAAGAAATGTGACGTCACTGAGTTTGTGCATCTGCGCTTTTCCGTTCACGGCCAACTTTCTCAAGCTTTACTAACAGCATGCAAGATAATGCTAATCGGTTAGGAAATGAAATCATGAAATCACAATATTTAAAACTTATATCTACGATGAGAAAGATGATTTGTAAGGAAAGTCGTAGAACTGTACAAAAACTTGATCTGAGTCCGAAAAATCTTCAAACCATTTAACGGCGGAAATATTCCAACGCCATTATGTCACTGAACACTGCACTATTTAAGCTACATCAACCCCACACAGTGGCGAAACCCTGCAGTAATATTTTACCAAAATTACTGTCTGGTTTCTTTAAATACAATAAATGAAAATATGTAAGCCATTGTCGAACAATCTTCGCAAGTATAAGAACGTCAGAAAACAAAAAAAAATGAAATTCTCAAAACTATTACAGCCGCAATAGTTTCAAAACTTTAGTAATAACTTAAATATTTAAACCAGAAACCTTGTAGAACCTAAAATGAGGTGAAAAGAAGCATTTGATGTAGTTCTAATCCTAACTTAAAAAAGACTGAATTACGGAGATCCATATAGTATTAATGAATTCTAATAAGCAATTATTCAGTATTGAGAAATCACCATATTAAATTAAAAACACGTAGAGGCCAAGATAATTATATACTGCATATACCTGAAGTAAGAAGTTTCGCAGTATAAGTGTCAGTGCCAATACGATTGGTTGCTAAGCACGTGTAGTTACCAATATCCAGTGGGGTTATGTCACGTATTAGCAAAAATGCTAGAAATATCATTCAATGATCCACTTGAAACCTTTTTCCCACGCTGATAGGCTGACCATCTTTCTTCCAAGCAAAGGTAACAGGGAGGGTTCCCTTGTTTAAATTACATAATACTTGGACTCTTCCGCCTAAATCTACTTCCTTTGGAAAGGCAAATGAATGTAGTTTCGGCGCTTCTGTTTCAAATAAAAAAAACAAATGTTAAATTTTCAAACGCCAACATCAACACACATTTTGTTAAAACCAAGATTCTACGTATCATTTTAACTCTAGGTGTATCCGTAAAGTGAAACGAGGTTGGTTAAATTCTATTTTCACTAGCTCCGTTTCCTAATCTCACCAAACCCGAGATTAATATTTTGCTAAAAAACAGCTAAGATTTAAAAAACTTGAGCTTATATCAAAGCACGCATAAACAGACGCATGTTTTGCTCAATACTGATTTGGCATCTTTAGCTTTTTTTAGTTATTTTAGGAAGAATGTTTATAAACTTTATGGTCATACACGATATGAAATAAGTTATTCCTAGGACTATTGTTAGATTTCAATATGGTATTTTTGGGGATAAACCCGGCATTATTATTCAATATTTCAATCATAAAACAAATAAAATAACAATAGAGAAAATTAACTTACCTATAGACAAAGAAGAAATGCATACTCCCAACGGCAGCCCAATCAGGAGATAATGGAACACGATCGCCATGTTTAGATGCATAATGACGTCACACGGCAATACCTCTAGTACTCCCACAGTGAGCAATGCTACAAGTATTTGGCTTCAATATGACAAAAACTGAGTAGCTATCAAAACAAAATCACAAAGTAAAAACTCCTGGATCCCTGCTCATGAGATATTGAAATGAAAAGCCAAATTTCTTCCTTTTCTTCTTGGACTCATCTAAACAACGCACCAAACATCTTCTCTGAACATAAAACGCGTCATGCAAAGCGACTTCAGCGCCACATAGCGTCATTTCTTAATATACCAAACAAACAAACAATATTTCATATTCTAACGAGACTCCATATCTTTCTCAAATTGAGAAAGGTATTTTAAGAAAAAGGGGTAAAATCGAAAACTATAAATGCCTAAGGTGCCTGTTCTGTGAACTGACTTAAAATTATCTGTTAAGCAAGAAACACAACAGGAACGGTCGAAATATGTGGGAATTAACAACTCTTATTAATGTTGAAAGTACAAGCCAATGTAGACGACAAAATGGTAAATCACAAATACAAGTACATAAAAATTCCTAATTATAATACAGTCATGGCATCATCTTAAATATCAGAGTAAGTGATTAATCTAAATGTTACAATAGAGTTGTATTTCTCTATGGAGCTTCTCACAAACCTGGAATAACTAGTCGAGCAGTATGATTATCGGAACCTCTATTATTCCTAACGACGCATGTATAGTTTCCCATATTCAAGGCAGACACTTTCTCAATAATCAGAACACTAGAGTGTTCATTGAACATTCCTGCTTTGATTGCCGACATTTTGTTGATCGGTTGGTCATCTTTGAACCACGCAAACTCTACCGGTAGGTCTCCTTTATTCAGATTACACAGTACTTGGACTCGTCCTCCAAGTTCAACATCATTAGGAAAATTAAACGAAAGGAGCTTCGGTGCTTCTAAAAAACAGACAAATATTATATTGTTAACTTTTTATCCCGATAAAATAACAAAAAACATGCAGTTACTTATCAAATAAACGTAAAATGGATAGAAAAGATGGATTATTCTGCACTGTTTTGGCATCTGCAATGTTAGGAGAATGTTGGACAGGTATCAATTTTATATAACAAAACCAAAAAAGATAACTATACATTAAATAAATATTTGGTTAAAACTAACCCTAAGAGTAAAGTGTTAAGAACCAAGCATCATTGTGTTAGGGACGATTACAAAACCAAGAAGCTTCGAATTAAAATTATTCTTCAGAAGTTATAAACTACTTTCATGGTGTAGATTAACGTTGTAATAAACATAATGCATAATTATAGTATTTTGGCACTTGTGTATAAAGTTAAAATCATATATAATATTCAACGTATATATATATAAGTATAATTATATATATATATACTATATACTATATACTATACTA